GTGGGAGAACTTGCACAATTGGTGGCTGACTAAATACTTTTTTACCCCACTGTATCTATCTGGTCACTAAGAGTCAACACCCACTTGATGTCACATAATCAAAGAATACAGCAGTTATGTTCACATGACACACTTTGTTATTGGGTTAACCCATTTTCTGGGTTTGCTTAGTAGACTGATACATAAGCTAACTGAATGGACTGGGTTCACACAATATCTTAAATCTAGCTAAGATTAAAACTAATCAAGCTTAGTATGTTGGGTGACTGCCTCTGCTAAGACTGACTTGGTTAAGTGTGCTGTGTGAACACAACCTGTGTATTTTCTGCTTCCAAGCCATGCAACCAACTGCAACTAGAGGAGGAGGATGGGACCTCAAAATGGGGATTGACCCTTGAGTCTTAGACTCCTTCTGAACAGCTAAGTTGCAAGTCTGCCTCTGGGGTACACATCTTTCAAGATCTTTTTTAGCATTGCTATATCGGATTTTAAAAACGGTCAAAAACAGTTGAATAATCAGCTCAAAGCTTCATCTTAGACTGTGTTCTTGCCTTTTCTCATCAGGGGAGATATGCATATGTCCCTAAAGTGGGAGAGCCACCAGCTGGCCAGCAAACAAATATTTGAGACCAAAACACATGTTGCTGTCTTCCTGCAAGACAGCCTTCACTGTAGGAAATGAAGCTGTGACACCTCTTTAAGCCAATAACATCCCAACAATTGTTCTATACTTACAGTTTATTCATCAGCCTGAAGGACATCATTGTTTTGGTTAAGGCTTGGAAGTAATAGATTCCTTCATTTAAAGAAAAAAACACAGAGGGAAATAGCACCAGTAGTAGCCTTCTATTCCTGAATCAACCAGTCAGTCCACCCATTCATCAATTCTGTGTGTGCACAGCTGAGCAAATGTCTGCACTGCACCCATGCTCAAAACTACCAGGGGGGCCCAGACAGTGAAGACAGAAATACTGTATAGCAATCCCAACAATCTTGTCTTGATTTGCTCATTAGAGCAGGTAGAACCCTGTTGATTCCCCTGATGTCAAACCCAACTTTGCTCTCAATAAAATGTGGAAAAGCAATGGCACAACACAAGGACAAGCTGATCTCTATCTATAGCCATGGTTCAGTCCCTTGGAAGCTGGTGAGCACCAGCAGAATGTTGGGGTGTCTTTGGAGGAGCAAGCAAACCTATGTGTCCAAACTGAGATCTGAACAGTGTGATTCCCCAGTTCCTCCCTTCCAAGCTGGTCCAGACTTTCTTTATACCAGAGAGATTTCTGGGGGAAGATTTATTTTTATTTATTTATTCATCATATTTATATGGCCTGCCATCTTGCAAACAAGTGACTCTCTACTAGATCTTTTAAGATGGGCAGATTCCACCTGAAGAAGAATCAAAACTGTCAAGCTTTGAACAAATGCAGGAAGGGGGGAGAATCTAAATTCTTCATGAGCCCTGAAAATGCTCAGTGAGAAAAAGAACAGGGGAGACTTTCCAGGGGCGGGGCTGTTCTTTCGCAGCATAATTTGAATTCACAATGAATGATGGTTTCAGTAAAATAGTAAGCAGTTAACTCATCATGTGAACATGTGACATGAGCTTAGGGAGAAGCTGGTCCCACATGCTAAAGGTGGCTTCAGTTGCAATTATTCATATCTCGGTCTGCTCTATCACTTTGGGGACTGGGAGACCAGGAAGCACAAATAAATATTCTTATGTTGGCAGATATAGGATTGTAAATTGGGGTTGTGTGGGTGTGTCCATGTGCATGTGTCTGTGCATACATATAATGACATAATTGGTTTATATAAAACATTTCACAACGTGGCATGAGCAGAGTTTTGAGTTGGTAGTTGCCACAAATGTTATTTGATGACCCAACCAATCCAGTCTTGGATTGTTTAAAGAACTCACTTCCTTGTTCCTTCTACTCTTCTTCTTGTTTTCTTTCCAAAGGGAAGGAGACAACTTTTGCTTCATGACACCAACCAACTGGCTAAACTGCTGCTCTGGGACTTTTAGGAGCCCTGAGATTGTGAAGAAATGGCATCTTGATTGTCTCCATATGTCCCAAGGAGCTTAATTGGGCCCCATGATGGCAATGTCAGGAAGGTTTTCCTAGCAAACATTTTCTTCGGACAACTAGGACCAGAAATAATGGGTGCAGCTACTTAGATTTCATTGAAATATGAGGAAAAACAGTAAGATCTGTCCAACAGTGGAAGACTCCCGCTCTGAAGGTGGTGGGTTCTCTATCTTGGAGGTTTGCCAGAAGAGGTTTCAAGGATGGTTGAACTGATTTGCCTGCCCTTGCAGAGGGTGGACCAGATGAACCCTCCCAACTCCATAATGCTATGAGCCTATGATCCAGGGCACGGGATTAGATGAACCAGTCCAATGTCCCACTGAATGGCAGTGGTACAACAGGCTGGATTACAATTGCTCTTGTCCCTTCATCTCTTGTGAGAACATTTCACAACTGGGTTGATCCCAATGGATATACCCATACATGTGGCAGATAAGGGTGTGGCTGAAAGATCCTGCTGGGCCAAAGACTCAAGGGCCACAGTGTATGTTCCCAAGCTGAGAAACAGGACATGCTCATCCATGGAAGAAACTCCTTCTGTCTTTCTATGCACCTCATGTTTGACACGAAGCTAACACACCTCATAACTTTACAAGACTAATGTTTGAAATGTTAGTCAACAAAGTGATTGTGTGGCTTTGTGTACAGTAATAATGTATTTCGTTTAGAAATGTTTTTAGTATTTAGTTTAGAAAATTTAGTAAATTTTCCTGGCTTTGCTGGAGGGGATGAAATAAATTTTATTAAGGTCATGCTTCAAAATGTTTGTGTATTTGTGTTATTAGTTAAATTTGCAAACACCTCTGTGTGTGTGTGTGTGTGTGTGTTTCAGGTTAAAATTTGCAAATTATGTGACTTTAGCTTTTACAAAAGGTAAAGCCGACTGGTTTTCACTACACTTGGGATATGGGCTGCTGTGATTTAAAAGTTCTTTTTTCCTATGTTCGAGGGAGTAATTTTAAACTGCCTAGAAATAAAGCCTTTTTAGAAAAGGGGGGCAAAATGCAGCCTGTGGCTGTATTTTAGGATGCATTTTGGGATCTCCTTTTCCAGCATTCAAGGTGCTGATTTTAAAACTCAGCAAAATGAAAAGCATCAGTAGACTATTACTGTATTTATTTTACAGTGGATAAATAGGCTTCACTTCCCAAATACAGCGCAGCCTAGGGTTCTGTTAATTATACAAATCCACACATCAGACTAGGTTTGATTAGCTAATTACACAGTCTAGGGCTGACTGCCACCCATTTCTTGATGGGATTAGATTGAACAGGTCATATCCAGTTAGGGTCATGACCTTGTGAGTCCAGCATCACTTGGGGAGGAAGGGCACGCACACCATATCCGGTTAGGGTCATGGTCTGATGACATAATAACTGTCTAAGGTCATGATCTGATGATGTCAGCGTCGCTTGTGGTTTGTATACTTTGATGCTGTCACTGATTAAACAAACAGATAGGACACCCTTTAATTTAGTATACTGTACAATATTACTTCTAGCACAGTCACTGTGTATCTAAACTCTGTCTCAGGGCAATGTAGAAACCCAGCCTTAGAGTTCATGGTACTATCTGCACCCCATCAGCACACCTGGTTTTCTTTCCATGCAAAGACTTGCCTCCATATATTTGATTCCACTGACAGAGCCTCACTTGGGAAAATGAGGATCAAAATCTGCCTGCTGACAGGAAAGGCTATTGGCTGATTTAACCCAGTGCATTTAGGAATGGGGATCTGAGGAGCTGACATGGGTGTAAAACATTGGGGTGGATTGTTGCTCTTATACAGAATCTTTTACCTGGTGTGGCACTTTATATCACATTTAAAGCAATCGAAGCAACATAGAAACAATAAAACAAAAGTCCACAATCCCTGGTTCACTGGCGTGGTAATTTCTGGAATTGAAGGGGTAGGGAAACGCCCATAGCATTCTGCAAGTTGGCTTTTTTTTTTTGTTACAAAGCATCCCAGTTAGAAATACAGTTGTATGGCAGTTGCATCTGGAAGATTTCAGCTCCTGTTGGTGTATTCCACCTAACACCATGGAACAGTTAGACTGAGCCTTTACAAAAATAATTTCAGTTCTTACCTATTTGCTAGAGAGTATTTGCAAACAAATGAGAATGTCCATGAATTGACGTAATCATTCCAGGTGATATGTCCTGAAAGAGAACGAGTGAAGGCATGGATCCATATTGGAGGGTCTGTTAAACTACACAGGAACTGCCTCCTAATGCTCAGCAAATAGTGCTACAGTTTCTCTCTTTGAGATTATGGTACAACATGACACAACTATGGGAGTAGTAACATGGGCATAATTTAAGCCAGGGATAGGTACCTTTCGAATTTTGAGAGCATATGATGAACATAACACACAAAAGGCTATTGTGGGAGACTTGCCTATTCACAAAATGAGTACCGTAATGGATAAAGCCAATCACTAAGTATCCAGGAAGAAGAGCTAGCCCTCAGGAGGCACTTTGCCATCCAAGTGCAATCTTAGTGAGGCCTAAAGGCCTTCCTGCTAGAGACTGGTGCTTTGCTTTGTATTTGTCAGCCTCCTGTATTTTCTACTTCAACAAATATTTTTAAAAATTTAAGTGGAGCAGGGAGCCTGGTGAGACACCATGTTCCCTGCCGTTGGTTTAAGCCAACATTTTAGACTCCCCAATAGAGGCCAAAGAAGGAAATCTATTTAAGGAGGCTGAGCAGTGTTCAAAAGGCTGTTTTGTAAAGCATATTATTGGCACAAGTGAAGCCTTCCTGAAGCACTGAAGCAGCTGTGTCTTCTATAAGGCATGATTGCTTTGAAGGCTTTTCCAGATCATTTAGGAATAGATATGCAACACTTCTTGTGGGACTGCTAATGAAGTGAAGCAGTTGTGCAAGCTGGTGTATAAAGAACTATCCAGGAACACCCTCAAAGCAGCCACACTGAGTCTCCTGCAGGCACAGCTGCTTCAATTGTTTTGGGCCAATGCATCTTGCACCTCCAAATGCATAGCCTTACTACAGAACTACACCTTGGATTATAGCAAACACCCACAGTATGACCCACAGAGACTCTTAAGAGTTGACAGTAGCATCAGCTGAGGCTCTCCTACTGCATTAACTTGAAAAGGTGGAAATTTTCCCCCAAATAATTTACCTTTAAAATGGAATGGATGCCTTAGATTTGCTGAGAGTATGATAATAGAGGCAGATGAATGGGGGGAAGGTCTGAATTTCAGAGTTATCTTCCTTTCAGAAAAATACAATGCTCTTCTCTGGATACCCTTTGCTCTATTAACATCACTTAGGTGTTTAACCTTACATTTGCCCCATAAAATTCACATAGCAGGGGTTGCATCTTTGCAGTTACCAGTAATGCATCACATATACACTCTCATTCTCAGTCATGGTATAAAATTCTGTCCCCCGAAAAGCCATGCGTGATACCAAGATATGTACTGCTTAAGCCAATCCCTTCCTAAGTATAACCCTCATTATATACCAGTTAATAGATATGTGAAAGTTAATTACCGTTTTGTAAAAACCAGGAGCCAAGGTAGTTTTCTCCCTTCAGTCCATCAGGCTGATTAGGAGGATATGAGTGGAAATCAAATCTGGAGCCATCTGTCCATACAAAGGTTCCCTCCTGAGGAAGTGTCACAGTTTGTTAGGGTAAGTATACCGGAACAAAAGATTACCACATTTTTCAAACAGCAGAAACGTAATTTGTGTTTTGTGCAGAGCCAACTTCCTTCAATCTGGTGCGGTCCAAATGTGCTGGACATCAGTTCCAATAATCACTAACCAGATTGGCCATTGGTTGAAGACAACTCATGGGGAAAGTCAATTGGGAGAAGGATGTGCAAAGCATATAATCAACCACACTTTGCCATGTAAGAGTTGTCTGTCCTGAGGCAGGAGTAAAGACACTATGCAGTAAATGGTGCCTTTCCAGATCAGTGATTATGCACTATTGTTACCTTGAAGGTGTCATGTGCTCCAATCCAATAGGCCTCATATTTCACATAATTCATTGGCTTGCCCATCAGATGAAAAATGAAGTCATTTTCTTCCATGCTATGGATGGAGGCCAAGTGGGAAGTTGGAGTATAACTCTGGCAAGACATCTGAGAATTCAAAGCGAAGTATATCACTTTTTATCTATCCATCGCAGAATGTGTTTCACAAGAAACATATGCAAACTTCCTCATCAAATACTCCACTTGGGCTTTTCAAATCAATGTACAGGTGGTCCCCAGTTTAAGAACAAGTTCCATTCCCAAGGTCTGTCCTTAAGTCAAATTTGTATGTAAGTTAGAATAGTATAATACTGTTATAGTTATATACAGTAGTTAGAACAGTATAATACTGTTATACAGTATAATACAGTGGTACCTCGGGATACGAACTTAATCCGTTCCATGACTCTGGGCATATCCCGAGTTGGTCGTAACCCGAAGGAAA